TCTTTCCAGGTTCAATCCCAATGCTCCTCCCTTCCTCTCCCATGTTGGCTGGAGCTTTGCTATTGAACCTCTGCCCTTTCTCTGAGCCTACATGTAAATGAAAATGAGGATGGGGCAGCACGTGGTGCACAGCTGAAGGAAGGGAAGTCAATAATATTGTGAACAGTAACTAAGTGATCCAAAGGGATGGGGCTTTTATTTAGAGAGGAATGGTGGATTTGCAGAACTACCCATTCAAGGAGTCCTGCCACAGCAGGGAGGTATCCCTGGCTTTGTGTGCACTTCAAAGTGCCAAAACCCTATTGCAGCAGGAAAATTTCCTGGATTCTGGAAGGAAAACTAGAGGGAGCTGATGTTCACAGTCATGACATCTCCTGCAGGTTCTCTCTTGCTCACTTGTGTCTGCTTTAAAATGTCCAAAGTAATTGCTAAAGCCAAAGGGAAGGAGCCCTGTGCCACACACCCCAAGGTCCAGCAGCATACAGAGCAAGACAGCAGGCAGCCTTGACAAAAAAAAACCACAGAGGCTCTGTGTCACAGACAAGTAAGACACAAACTAAATCCAGTCAAATTTCTGCTGGAAAACAATAAAAAGAGAGAAGTCCTGACTGAGACGCATGCTCTGCTGCTACCTGCGTGCTTTGGGGAAAGTGTCAGAAATGTCCTTGCCCAGGTAGTTATTTAGATTTTAATAGCTTTTCTAAGAAAGAAATGGATCAGTGGCTCCGCCACGGTGAGGGTGATGACCTCTCAACAGCAGACTTGCACTAGATGCAAATACACAAGCAACCTGTCACATAATAGTGGGGAAAGCGAACAGACTGTTCAAACTGTGCATGGGAGATGGGCAGATCATTCTGTATCAGCTTCTGTATCCCTTCCCCGGCCTCAAGAAGCACACAAGTGCACTACAACGCTGGCTTCATGTGGCTCACATTCCACAGACGTTGTTTAGGCACAGTGCTCCCTAGGTGGTGAAAGTTACTCACAGATGTAGACCCATTCAGTAGGGGGACCAGCCTTGACACCTACCAGGTAAGGATATCCTGACAAATTACTTCTGTCGCTAACATTTCAAAACAGTGCTGACCAAACACTGATCATCACAGTAATTTTAAAATTGTGACTTCTGTAATTTACTTCAATCACCCATCCATGTGCAAACGTTATCCTGGAGCAAAATTAGTTGAGTGGTTTATTCCCAAGACAGGGAGCCCATGACCTCTCACACACGGCAAGGTGAGAAGACCAGACAGATTATTTCTGCATCCTGCAGATGCTCTCTTTGCTCTCTGAAGTAATCAAGCTTTCAGACTTTTCCCTAGAGATGCACCTAATTGCCTGTTCCTCCTCCCCACAGCCGCACAACACTGACATCAAACGCAGCCTGGGACAAATTTCGAAGATCCCAGCTCCTTCATGGCCACATGTCTACCATGTCCTTACCCCAGCCCCCTCCCAAGAGCAGTATTTTGAGAAATGTATGGCACATAACATCTCCAGAACCTATCACAAACACAGGCAGTGCTTTTAAAAGGTGACATGGCAGCAGCACTGATGGCTGAAGCCTCCTTTGCTGCACAAGACCCAGAATAAGCAATGTGAGGTCAAGTTCCTCTCATGTAACCCTGTGAGACACAGGGACTCACCCCACACATCAGGGAGCACAGACTAAGAGCTGTGCGTCTCTCTACAGAGAAACACCCGTCTGCCCAGCTGGATGACAATACCACGTCAAATCTGGGACCAGCACCTTGAACACATCACCCAGCACCTCAGATAGGAAAGTGCCACTTTCTTTTCGTGTCTCCAGAGCTGTCCCAAGCCTTGTCCCTTCTCTCTGCTGCCCTGATAGGCACATCCAGTTCTTTGAGCTCGGGTAGGAAGGTGGAGGGAGGAAAGACAGCGGTTAAGAGGCTTAGCATTCCTCTGCACAGAGGGAGATTTAAAGCCTGGCTGGGGTTACCATGACGACACATCTGTCTAAAGATAAATCCCAAAAAGCCCTGCTCCAGCAGGCAGCAATCCTTTGTGTCCGGTGAGGGACCAGGGAGGGACCATGGGGGCCCCAGAAATTCTAACACCATGGAGCCCTATGGAGTCCTGCTTTCCTGGCAGGTTTATTGCAAATCGTGTGCCATCCCTCTGCTTATGCTGGGTCCTTTTCACAGCTGCATCCATAAGGTGGCATGGTATAGGTTTGAAGAAATGTCTTTACCTTGCACAGGACAAAGGAGGCTATAATGCCAAGCAAAATATTTGGAAATTTGTTTCAACAAATTATGCACTCACTGCTCGCCAGCGCACGGGTTCAAAGAGGTCTGTGAGCTGTAGTAAGGTGATGCAATACAAATGGAATGGGCCAGGAAGATGGCACCTCTCTCTGCTCTGACATCTCTGCAAGCTTTCTCTTTTATAAAGTAGGATGAGTATGATAGTACTAATAATATCTTACAGGTGACTTAAGTGGCATTTCATGCATATCCATAATGTGCTCTGAGATTCTTAAATTAAAGGCAATCAAGAAATGTGGAGCAGGCTATCCATTAAGACATTAAAAAAATTAATTATCTGATCTGAAAGCAGATCTTCATGTGCATATTTAAGAAATGTAGTTGCTCAGGACAGAAGGCTAGCATTTTAGCTATCTCCATTTCTAAAAAGCAAAGTTTCTTCCCCTAGAAAACTGCCCCTCCAAATACTTCTGTTTTCTATCTTCTAACTACCTTCCATTCCAAAAATCCTTCCAGGATGCAGCCAAGCCCAGTAGCTGGCCAGAAAGGCCCCTTCCCCAGCTAAGCACTCTGACAGAAGCTCAGCAAGGCTCATCCCAGGAAAGAACAGATGGGGTCTCCAAGAGATTGGCCACCAGAACTCAGAAGCCACATCAAGGCCAGACCTGCTTCACGCTTGTCACAGCCCATCAGAGAACGTCCTCTGCAATCCACGACCTGTGTTTTTGGAGGGCTTTAGTACTTAATTTGGGCAGCCACACTGCAGGCCCAAGTGACAGACATCTTACATTCCAATGTGCATTTCTGGACACAATGCAAATAAAGGTCTAAACTTCAGTCTGATGTTTGAAGCCCATCATTTTAAAAAAGGCTTTTTATAATCCTAAATGATGATAAATATTTACTTCTATGCAAATATCAGCAGAAAAAAAAAGTTTAAAATTGTGCCTTTCATTGCGACACCTTTAAAAATCTATATAGTTTCACTGCTGGATCTGCAAAGAATTACTCAACAGTCACTACAAGCTCTTGATGCCATCCAGTGAAAGACAAAAACTCTTTCAAGGGGGTTAAAATTCTAGGAGCAAGAAAGCAATCAGGGGGAGCCATACCACCCTCATTGTACCCTCTTAGATACCCTCTCCTACCTCAGGTCACTCTAAAATAAGAGGCAAAAGGGGGAAATAAGGCTGAGTGTCAGATGGGGAGAAGAGAGGATACCATGACTCTAGGAACACAGTATATAGACAAATGAAGTGAAACATGATAAAGAATCACAGAATGTATTGGGTTGGAAGGGACCTTTGAAGATCATCTGGTCCAACCTCCCTGCAGTAAGCAGGGACAACGTTACTAGAGCAGGTTGCTCAGATGGAGGAGGAAGAAAACAGAGTGCTTTGACAGCCTCGTCTCAAATGCTCATGCAAAGCAAACCAGGAATGTGCTGCAGAAACACCTTCTTCATAGGAACTGCCCCTGTGGACACTGCGTAGCTCATTCTCAAGAGGATTTTCTGCATCTTTCTCACTGCCCAGCAGTAGCACTGGCATAGCTCAAAAGAGCCCCATCAAAAGAGAGAACGTTCATGGCACTGGTATTTCTACATCCTCTACAATGTTATAATCAGGGAGTTAGAAATTGCTGAGTATTTTCGTTTCAGGTAAGATCATCCTCTACAATTTAGCAAGGCAAGAGCTGGCTGACAGATGCCCTTCCTGGATTCTCTCTTCCGCCCTCACCATTCACAACCCAAAGCGAAATGACTGTCCTTGATTTTCACGTAGCTTGCTCTCACACTCGCTAGCAGTGATTGCTCACAATTTATGCCCTTGCAGAGATTACCAGCAAGAGAGGAAAAATCTCATCTACTTAATCTTCTTTCCTCATACCCAAAGACGACCACGAAGGATCATAAAAGCCCGATCCTCTTGCATTAGAAATGCCTCGTCTTTGTTGGCCAGTTCCACGGAGGTTTGGTAAATTCCAAGGATTATGATTTCAGAGGGGACTGAATGTGGAATAATTGAGAAGAAAATGGATTCTCAGATTTTGTTTTGTTAATTATGTACAGCTCAAATCTCTGGTAAACTTTACAAGGGAAAAATGTTGTCCTTGTGCAACTTCCAGCTGTTTCACTTCAACCAAGCACTGCAAGCTGCTGCTGCTGCAGCCCTTCAGCAGAAACAGGGACTCAAGGGCTCTTGCTTTTGAAGTAAAAGCAAGCACGATTCCTTTTTTTCTTTTTTAAAGAAGAAAGCTTTTCAGCTCTCCTTTAAGCATCACAAATACAAACATTTCACCTCTCACACAGGACATCCACCATGGGCATGCATTTGATCAAATTATACCCAGCACTTTCTTTTATTAGTCATTTTGCCTGGGAAGCTCTCTGAACGTGGACCTGCATATGGCACATGGGCTCACTGGGACAGCAGAGTCAATTTTGTACCTTCACACAACATCCAATCTTCAAACCAGTACCCTGACCACCGTAATCTAAGCTTTAAGATAAGGAGCTGTGTGTTGAGATAACAGCCCTGAAAGAGAGCTTTCATATAAAAGGCCAAAGAAAATGCCAGCTGTTCTGTCACTATTATATCCCCTTCTCTCCTCACGGCGAGAGGCTATCAGCAAATCCATGTAGTTATTTCTCGCTTTTAAAAAATAAAAATTCATTAACCTCTCGTGGCTCTGCAATCACAGAGCTTCTTTTAAATGGATAAATCTGGTTTTATCTGCTTTGCTCGAGATTCTCTGCTTACTGATCACAGATTATTCCTCCATTTCACCCTGTCAAAATCCAAACAAAGCATCTTTTGGAATTATCTTGTCTGGGTTTGTTTTTAACATCACTAGAGCAGTCTTTGCTTCCCAGAGCTTTGGTCACCTCTCTCCAGTTTTCTCACATAGGCCTGTAACCTGCACAAACACTAGAGAGGTAAGAATCTCTAGATTCTAGAGGGAGCAGGGCCTGCTTAGGACCATTATAAGACCAATCCTTCCAAAAAACCCCAAACAACAAACTTTCAGAGCATTTCAGCACCTCAAAACACAGAGGCACAGCAGTAAAATGAAAACAATTTTAGTATTTTCCTTAAATAAGCATTACATACAACTGTTTCATTTTTCTATAAGTGTCTGCTTGGAAACACTTTTTTACACCTGTTTGCTTAGACAGTTATGGTCAAAGGTGACTCTAAAGAATTACTGAAGAATGAAGAAGCAAAATAAATAATAGCATACAATTAGAGCTGCCTCAGGTATGTGGCTTCAAATGAAGCAGAAAAATAAAACTAGCTCCAAACAGAATGCAAGGGTTTCCTTTTCCCCAAGCTAAATTTGGGATCAGAAACAGAACTTAAAATCTCAAGGACCTGAAAAAACAGATAAGCTGAGATATGTCTTGCACGGACGCACAGAACATGTAGAAAAGGTGGTAAGACTCCTAGTGAGGTGGAAGAGCACTCTTGGGGACACGTAATGGATGAAGTTCAGTACAGGCAGGGGGGCGCACATGTACAGCAATATTTTGTTTAATACCTTTGCCTCAAACGTCCTGTGCTCTTGGATGAAAGGTTAAAGGGTGCTTCGCTTTGAAGCTGTTCTGGAAACGTGCCACAGCAGCTGCTGTCACGGGCTCATCATCATCATGGCTGGCACCCAGGGAACTCCATCCAGCACCTATCTAAGGACAAGTGCTAAATGGGAACCCAAAGTGAAAGACGTGGGGCCTCATACACCTGGAAACAACCTCAGAATACCTGGAGAAACAGGCAATGCACCACCTCAATGGCTACAAACCAGAACTGACAGGGACAGGGAAGATACAAAGGCAAGTCCTTGGCTCCATGAGGCAGCATCCATACACACATTGCAGGCTCAGGAGAACACTTCGTCACATACTTTCAAGGACACAGAGAATTAGAAGGGGCTCTTAGTTTCTTACCTTCTTCCTACTCGTTTTCTCCTTTGCCTATCTCGCTCCCCTTTCCTCCAGAAACATCTCTCTCTCTGCCTTTCCCATATCCTTTCCTAAGAAGTCACTGTATTGCTCAAGGAACTGTCAAGGAAAGCAAACCACAACGACGTCATCTCTCTGTCCCAATAGTGAGGCCACAGAGATGGTTCTCATGAAGGTTTGTTCTGAGCATGTTTCCATAGTGAATTTTTGGTTATTCCCTGCCCAGCGATGGGGGTTGTTGGTGGAGGACACAGCAGAAGAAAACCTTTCTTTTCCCTATTTGGATATGTCCTGAAAAGCTAGATGGCTAAAACATAAACTATGGCAGTTTACGCTGCATGGAATGGCCTACAGTTCCACAATATAGACACTTTTTATATATCATAATAAACAATAATATAATAAATACCGTGTTTCTATTCTATTACAATTTGTCTTTTTCTTTTGAAAGGTAGGGTTTACAGCTACAAATAGACTGACAGAGGAAATCTGCATATGCTTGTTCCCTATGTTAAGGAGGAGACAGGACAGACCACCACAGGCATCCTTCTCTTAAATTCAGAGATGTCAGCTACAGGTCTCAGAGTGAAAAATGCTCCATTTAAACCTGCAAAACTGTTGAGAGAGCATCACATTTGATGCCTCAGCATCTTTATTGGCTACCTCTCTGTTTAAGATGAGAACAATTGCAGCAATCAACACTTTAACCTGAACTAAATGCAACCTTGACTTTCCTGGCACGCCACACACACTAGAAATTTGTCTGTGGCCTAGTTATTCTGGGGATTTTACCTCTACATCAGACACTTTCATGCGAGTGCCCTCTTTTCCCACAAATATATCATCAATGTCGACGAGGATATAGCGATCAAGTGTGAGACAGAGGCGCTTGCCAGTCAAGTAGGCAATGGCGTCCACGAAAATGAGTTTGTGCAGCCAAAAATTGAGGTTATTGCCGAAGAGAACCCGCTGGATCCCATCATGCAGACCCAGATCCTGCACCACGGTGGCATGCAACGCTTTGTGGGTGGCCAGGTGAGGAATGGACTCCGAGGACTTGGTGCTGGCCAACAGCACTGGCTCGTAGGTGGTGTGGTTTGACTGGAACACAGTCCAGTCATCACCGGGCAGGGGACCCTGCTCCACCTCATTAGCCCGGGTGACGTAGAGCAGGGGAGCGCTAGGGTTGATGTGATAGTCCCGCAGCCCCAGGTTGGAATGTAGGAAAAGGGGGAAACCCTTGAGCTGTGCACTGAGTAGGCTGTTCTCATTGGCTTTGAAAAAGCCTATAATCCCCACTCCGTACTCTACACAGTATTTGTCCAGCAGCTCTCGGTTCCAAGCATCTAGGTTCACATATTTAAGGATGTTCTCATAGATAATAAGAGCGTAGCGTCCCCTGTCTTTGTCCGTCAGGGTGGGCATATCCCCTTTGCCAGGGGCGATCTCTGTCCTGTATTTAAACCGGCTGGATTCCAGGATGGCCACTATTTCCTGCCCCAGCTGCGAATAAATGCTTTCCACAAAGACTAGCACCACAGGATCCGTGCGCGAGGTGTCCACAGATTTTGTGAGCCTCCAGCTGGCTTGGGGCGGGATCAAGATGCGGTGCTGGTTGCTGCAGTCACTGAAGGGCAGGGGTGGTGGCTCCTTGATTTTGGGACTGTTAGTGACGTAGTAAGCCAGGATGCACATGGAGATCAGGCTGAAGGCAATGAGCAGCAGGATCAACCTGTGGAGCTCCAGCTGTCGCACATGCCGCACTACTTTCCACAGCTGAATCATGGTGAGGCGGGCTGCCCACCCCCTCCTCACACGCTGAACCCACGTCGCTCTTCAAATCTCCTGTGCCGCCGTGGCAGTACCCAGCAGCAGCTCGCAAAAAAGAAACAGCAGCTGCGGAGAGAGACAAAGCTAAAGCAAACAGCTACAGGGCTACACTCCCAGGGATGTGCCATTTATCTCAAGTAACCATGGCCTTCAATTCCCATCGCTCTTTTGTGTGCTTCCTCCTGTTCCTCTCCTCTCACTCAGGAAAGTCTTTTGGAGGAGCAAGGTTTCCTGAATCTCGTCTCCAACAGCAGATCAGTCTATCATCCTGTGCACAAACAGCTTCAGTTCAGCCTTCCCAGGTGTCCCGTTTCTCAAGTAGCTGTTTCACATTCACATGATGGCACCTTCCTTTTGCATCCTGCAATTTAAAAAGCAAAAGTTAATTCTCAGTATGGATTCATGGTATTTAACAGGTTTCAAATGAAATGGGAGGATCAGCAGGTGCTAGGTGCGCAGCATCACTTGCCTGTCAGCAGGCAGACCTGTTGCCTGGGAGGTGACACACAATTTGTACACGAGCTTGGCAGAACAACTGCAACGGCCTTGGGAAGAAAGGTCCACGTAGTGCACGAGGACTCAGCATGTGCCTTGCGTGAGATTCTCACACGCTAAGTGTACTGGCGTTTCCCCACTCCTCTTCATGCCATTGAACAGAAAATACGAACCGTTTTTATTCTAGCCTGTATTTCAAAATTAACAAGAAGAAGCGAGAGCCCTCCTGTTCTCTGTCTTGTCCTGGTCTCATACTAATGATGATGTGTCCGAATCCTCGCCAGTCACTTCCTAGGCCCTCTGGATGTTGACGCCCTGAACCCAGCAAGATGCCTCAAATTCCCACCAGCTCTCTTGCCCAACAGCTCCCAACTTCCATGGTTCCCACCGCTCTCTATGAGGCTGCTCCACTTGTCCTGGGAACTCGTGTTCTTCCAGGGCTCTCAGAACACGGCTCCGGGGAGCCATGGGGGCACAGGCTGCCCATGCACTGCATACCTAAATGCTGCCAATTGATTCAGAGGCAGTTGGAGATGAAACATCTCCTGAAACCTTCCTCACCTTCCCTCGTATGCCACTGAAGAGCACAAAACCAGTTTTAAATCACCAACAGCACGACATAAATTTGGGTTGGTCTCAAATACGTGGAAGCTTCTTGTTACAAAGCTCTCACCTCCTGCTTTGTGTTTATGACAGCAGACTATTGCACCATATGTTGTTATTTTTCCAAGACAAAATGCTCAACAAAGCCAACAAACACCAAGCCATCTAAAATATAAACACCAAGGAAAGCAACTAAATCACTCTTTGGTTTAAAAATAAAACGAAATCACTGCGTGGTTTCCTCTCCCTTACGGGAAGTGTGACTTACCTACAGCAACAACACCCAGGTGTGCATTACTTGGGATACGAGCACCTCTTTGTGGAGCACCTGCTGCCCCTCCCAGCACAGTGCGAGGGCACCCTGAATGCCAGATGTTGCTCACCAAGTCAGTCATACCCAAAATGAGCTCTCTGCAAAAGTTTAAAAACCTTTTTTGTCTCCAAACCTTGCTAACTCACACAGCCGCACTCCTGCAGACATGTGCTCCGCCACATACGATCCCTCCAACCACCTGCTCAAACTGGCACAGCTTACAGCACCAGGAGGCACAGGAGCAACAATCACAAGAAGTACTATCAAAACAGCTCTTCATCCGTTCAGCATTCCTCCCATTATTGAGCCTTTTCGTTACTATAATTCTGATAAAACAGACAGTATTAGAGCACTAGTTCGTCCATGAGTTTAAGATGGACGTAAGATTTTCACATAGTAAAGTCAGGGTTTTAACAACTAGTCCCACCAGAAAAGAAACTACTTGTGAGACAGATGCTTATTTTGCTCCACCAGAAAAGAATGTACTTGTGAGACAGATGCTTACTTTGTAATGTCTATTACTAAACAGAAAAAAATTCCTTCTGAGTCAGGGAAAATACCAGTTCACAGATGAGGCCATAAGCCCCACTCTAAAGACTCCTCCCAGGCTCTTTTCCAAACTTGGTGCAGCTTGAAGCAGAGACAAAAAAACCCAAGCAGATTTTATAAGAAGAGATATAAAATTGCTAACTTTGTGACAGCAGAAGGAAGAGTCAGAGCGCTGTTTACACAAGCCTTATAATGATCATTAAGTATTATCTCAAATAACTTCTGTGCTATAAGCTCAGCAGCGCAGGAACTGGCTTGTGTAATGCACAGTGAAACCTTAGCCCTGATGAGGTCTTCGGAATAGCTGTAAAGTAAACTACAAAAATAATGTTCCACAAGAGAAACTGAGACACAGCAAATCTTATTGAAGGTCACACTGCATGCAAGGCAGCAGATGAGTCAAAATTTAAAAAACAAACAAATAAAAAACCCCAAAAACTCCATTCCCCAGACTCCAAATGGATCAAGTCTCCATTCCCAAATGCCCCTCTCTAATGACAGAGATGGCTCTGGAAATGCAGCTCAGCCAGCAACAATAAGCTGTGTTTTCTTCAACACAGACAACCGATCATCTTTCAGTTTTGTTCCTACTGTTAACCTTTTATTAGAAAAAGAACAAGGAAGAGAAGGGGAGAAATTACTATGGGAAGATATAAAAAACAGCATTCAGATAGATTTTTCTAGTTTCTGCTACTGAAGTGACAACTGATTCTGAATGCATGACTCTCTGGATTGAGGGCAGGATACGGCTTGTAATTCCTGTTCAAATTCAGTCTCAGCGATACACCGGGACTTGCCAGTGTATCAGCATAGGACGCAAAAACACGCGTCACTTTTCAAAAGCAAGCAGGAAAATAACCTTTCCACCTCCACAATGAGCCTTTCCTATCCCACTGACTGCAAGGAAGGCGTCGATGTTACCACCCCCATGCTTGGCACTAGAGCTCCAGTCACACTGCACTACAGAGAGGCAGAAGGCAGAATTGAGCAGGGCAGAGAGAGGTTAGACAGAGACACAAGAAATGCTCTGTCTTTTTTATGATGTGAATTCCCTGTAAGACACAATATATACACAGCTCCATGCATATCAGCTGCTTGGAGAGGCAGTCTGCATTCTGCTCCTGTGCAATAAATTAATACAAAACACTCCACTCGGATTCCTACGTGCTCCATTTTGACTGAGAATTGCAAGCCAATGTCTTCCCAAATAGCTCACATCCTTTTGCTTTTTAATCCCATTGGATTAAAAAAAGAATAATTTGACTATTTTGGATTCAAAGATTCACTATCTTAACTTATATTAGACAAGAAGTTGTTTTTGCAGGATAAAATAATGTAAAGAGGGACTTATAAGCTCAGGAGTCCATGCGTTGCCTGCAGAAATTTCCAAACAAGTGTTTCTAGGGTAGGATTTGTAATCTAAATACCACAGTAACAGTGAGAAAACCAAGTTTATGTTGATCTCTGCAAAAACCTGGCAAAGTACTGTAATACTTCTACAACTCTTCACCCTCAAAACATCAACCTGGAGAACACCTTCTCATCCCTGGTTACACTCACTCACCCCTCTAACTGCATTTTTAATGTTTAACCAAATCTCTGTTTTGCAAAGAGGTGTAGTTTTAGTTTCCTGGTATCAGTTTAAAGATGAAAATCACAAGACAACTGAATTATTCTCTAGAATAAGGATGAAACCAGAGATTAGGCTAGGCTGCCACACCTGCAGTACCCAGCTGAGGGGCAAGAGGGAGAGGAACTCCCTTTGCTGGGCACTTGTGAATCACAGCAGTGTTTTGATAACAATGACTCCATTCAAGCCTCTAGTGAAGCTCCCAAACAAGCCCCCATTTGTTACATGGGTGAGCTCAAAAAAACAAATTAAAAAAAAAAAAGGCCTGTATCAGATTGCTGCTCAAGAATCTGTCAGCTCCCATCTCTTTAACAAGGCTTCACAGCCAGAGGGCATGCCAGCTGGCACGGTATTCAGTTAGCTCTTTGGGGACCACATCAGCTGGGTTAGGTTCAAATGAAAAGAAAAAAAAAGCAACAAAACAAATATAACAACCAAAATTCATATTAGTACGTGAGAGAGCTGTCAGAAACTACCCATACCCAAGACACAAAGCCCAGAAAGACTGGAGGGAAAAAAAAGAAAAGAGAAAAAAAATACACATTGAAAATTGCTCTCTCTTAAAGGATTAGAAAATACCTGTATCCTCTTTAGAGATCAAATGCCTTGGAATCTAACACCACAAAAAAGCAAAGTTTATAGATAACGTAAGGTCCCTTACGAACTCCAGCCAGAACAGCCCGAGTGCAAATTGCAGGAGGCAGCAGTCAGAACGCACAGCGAGGATGAAGTGTTTCACTGATGCAAGGACCAGGCTCAGCAGGCTCCCGTCCTGCCAGAAAAGCACCACTACAACAGAGAGCACCAGCTGTAAGGTGAGCTATCTCAAAAATCACCAGCATCAAGACGAATGCTTTATGAAACTTAGATGTTCTGTTTCCTACTGATATACAGTGTTAATGTGAAACATAAACCGTTCTGTGAATTATCAGCTGCTAAGCCACGTGGCAACTGATGTGCTATGAAATCAAGATAGGAATCAGAATTGTGTGGTTTTAATGTCTGATATCCAGATCTTTCCAACGCTTGGAAATTATTGTGAGGGATCAGTATAAATGCTCAAGACCAGTGCTTGTCCAAAACCAGTGGCCAGAATATATGTATTTGGGGCTGCTGGTACATTCATGTCGAGGCAAATGGAAGATAATGGCTGTCATTTGATACCGTTATCAAGAATTTCTGCCATACAAGCTCCTTCCTAGCTGTGCCACAGGTCTTAGCACCCTAAAAAACAGTGTCATGAGTAAATTTCCCCAGTCCTTTTTATTATTCATAATATAACCCCTCTTTCTGGAAAGCACAGCAGCAGGATCTTGCCTTTGTCTGAAACAGCTCTAATTCAGAGGTCTTTCTCTGGCACTTCCTGCGAGACGGTTGTTGCCTTGGGCCCCAGAGGGACTGCAGTAATTGAGTTACACAGTAATAAGAGAAGGAATCTGATTGATTTTCCAACCCATTCCACTTTAATGGTGTCATCATGACACAAAATTCCTCTTCTGTCTGCTTGACTGCTAGACATGGCAGCCTCTCCGTGCCTGCGATGGCATCTGTGTGCCAGGCCTCCAGGTACAGCCCCAGTCTCTCACGAAGGTAGTGACCTGGCCAGTAACATGAGGCAGAAGAATTAGTGGAACCTCAGGAGAATGAGTGCCGGTTGTATTACACATATCGGATGAAAAATATACTGTGGAAATTTCAGCCACGTAAGAATGCAACTGCCAACCAAGTTCATTTTTGGGCTCTGGGCGTGTGTTTCAGCAAGCACCC